GTTTTATTTCGCAAACTGTAATCTCCTTGTTTGATTTGGCTTCACAGAAACACATGGTCAAATATACTTCTATTGACTGTAAAATATCTTACAAGTCATCAGCAAAGATTTACTGAAGCACATAGTATGTACTAAGCACTTTGTATGCAGTGCTTTTCACTTAATCCTCATATAGCCTTTGAGAGGTATGTAAAATTATTATTCCTATTGCCATGGGCTAAATGATAACTCCCAAAGATACCCATGTCCTAATCCCCAGAACCTGTGAATGTCACTTCTTGTAGCAAAAGGGAATTTGCAGATGTGATTAAAATAAGGGTCTTGAAATAGGGAGGTAATGCTAATCGCAGTGTCCTCCTAAGAAGGAGACAGGGAAATCTGGCATACATGAAAGCAATGTAATAACAAGATGTTGACGCAAGATGTGATACTATTGGATTTGAAGATGGAGGAGGGTAATATGAGCCAAGGAATGCAACTGTAGAAGCTGGAAAAAGCAAGGAAATAGATTCTCCCCTAGAGTTTCCAAGGAAGTGTGGCCCTTGACTAACTAAAGCTGGCTTTGGACTTCTAACCTTTGGAACACTAGAAAAATACATATGTGTCATTTTGAGCCAGAAAGTGATAACTATTAGTGCATCCATAGGAAACTCATACACCCACTTTGCAATCAAAGACAGGAGACAGAGAGTATTGCCCAAAGGGCAGATTGAGGTTACTTGACCCTAATCACCAGATCTTATCTTGAACATTGCTTCATCTGTTGTGTGTGTCCTGACCTCTCCTGGATTTATTATTCCCCTCTTCCCCTCCCTCTAATTTACCCACTACTTCCTTCATCCTTTAGCCCTGTGGACTTTTGTAATCTACCTGATGCCATGGTGTGATAAAAGCAGCATATAAATAAATACATTGGTGGACATTGGTGGCATGTGAATGGGGTGAGGTCCCTGGATTTTTGCTAGCTGTGGGCATTGTCTTATGATTTAACAAAAGAAAGTTCCCCAACTGCTTCTCTTCCTCCTCCTGTTTTGTAAAGACTCTTTTCTTTACCATAGCAAAACAGTTGGACAGAGCAGGACTTCCGCTTTTTCAGAAAATCATGCTCACTTCCTGATCAGTGTTCAGAGCCTAGTAACTGCTTGTGAGCTTCTTTCTTTCTCCCCAAGGATTTTCGTCTTGTTTAGAACATGTCCAGCCTAAAAGCTCCCCTTCCCACTAAAATTATAAAACAAAACAAGGAACGACTAAACTCAGAAAAAAAATGAACGACTCAGAAAATAGTAGATCCTTTATTTTTGTAGGATGACATCTCCACATCTGTGTGCATGTTGGGATTCTAGAAGCCCCTGACGTGCTCTAAGGATGTCTGGACACCAGGGTTGGATAGAGTTTCACAACACGTGGCCTTTGCTCTATGTTAACAATGTGAATGTTTTGGGAGTAAGGGGGCTGCTTTGCTGTGAATCCAGCAGCTAAAAGGAGGACTATCTCCATCTGGGGAGGGGTATGTGACCATTCAGTCTCTAATAGCTCAATGGGTTTCGAGAGAGGAGGCAGGGCCCACCTTTGGAGAAGCTCCCAGGGCTCCACTTTATTTTCTGCTGACCCTAAAATACATCAAGGATTCCTTCTGAAGTTGAGGCTGTTGATACAATAGTTTAGACTTTTAGCTTTTCTTTCCTGGATTAATGATTCTATAGCCAACACATCCTGGCGATGGCATTGAACAGCTTTCAATAGCTTTCAATCTAATATTTATTCTCTGACTTATTCCCTGAGGGAATCTTTCCCAAATGCAAACTCCTCATTGCCAAAGGGATGCAGCCCCATCATGTCTCTTGTATTAGTCAGGGTTCTCCAGAGAAGCAGAATATATTTTAGAAAAAAAAAATATATATATATAATAGAAAAAGATTTATCATAAGGTATTGGCTCACATAATTATGGAGGCTGAGAAGTCCCACAGTCTGCCTTTTGCAAAACATAGACCCAGGAAGGCTGGTGGTACAGTCTGAAGACCCAAGAAAGCCAGAAAGCCAGGAGAACTACAAGCTGGAGGTCCAAGTCCCAGCTTGCAGTCAGGCTGAGAGACTGATTCCTTTCTTCCTTCACTTTTGTTTCTGTTCAGGCCCTCAGCAGACTGGATGGTGCCCACTCACATTGAGGAGGGTGATATGCTTTTCTCATGGATTCCAAGGCTAATCTCCCCTAGAAACACCCTCCCAGTCATACTCAGAAAGTGTTTAACCAGCTCCCTAGGTGTTCTGTGGCCCAGTGAAGGTGACACATGAAATTCACCATCGCACTTGGGCTCTGCCTACATTCTCTACCTCATTTCTCATCGTCATCTGTGTTCCATCCCTTATGCAGCCCCCTGAACTCTGCCTGGTGGTGTCTCCCTGCAGTCACACAAGTGCCAGAGTTTTCTTCCCTACCCCCCACCTCTACCCCACTTGCCTTCAGACAGCAGGAGATTAAAGCATACCGGGGTCAGCCAGGCCTGGGATCAAGTCATTTTAATTCCACAGATATTGACTTCATGCCTTCTCTGTGTCCCTGGGATATAATTCTGCCACTATTACTTGTGTGACCTTGGAAGGGTTACCTGACATCTCTAACTCTTGCTTAAATATCTGTAAAATTTAACATGATGCCTGGCACACGTAAACATTTCAAGGACATAAGGTGTCATAATTATCATTTTTATCATTCTTTGAGGCTCAGGTCAAGCTTGATGACCCTTTCCCTGGCAGGTTTAGACCCCCAACCTCACCCTCTCCAACTACCATGACCCCTGGTGCAGGACGTGCACCTCTATTCTGGCACCTCTCACGGAGCATTTCCCCTGTTGTTTAGTTGTCTGATTCTCCCACTACTCTTTGATGAGAACCATGTCTCCTCTATTCTTTTTCCATGAGTGACCAGAGCAGGGTTTGTTCCGACATTTATTGACTCCATGGAGTAGCTACCCAGAGGGAGGAGTTATCCCCAGAGGCGGGTGATATGCTTTTTGTTCTTTTCCTGATGCATCCGCTTCTCTTGTCTTTCTTGGCAATGACTTGAAAGGCTGTGCCAAGCTTGGCTGCAGGCTGCAGGCTAGTCTGGGGGAGGGATCAGCCATGGCAACCTTTTATGGGAGGATGAATTGGAGAAACAAATTCCAAGCAGCCCATTCATCTCAAGTCTCGCTTCTTATCCCACACCTACAATGCATAGATGCCAGCAGAAAGCATCTCATTCCCATGGGAAGAACAAGAGTAATAAGATCAATACCTACAGCATTGAGCCATTCTTTCTCTCTTACATTAGAAAAAAAAACGTTTTTGTGCATTTCAATGTTCAGTGTTCCTTCTTTTTAAAAGAGTAAAGTCAAGTTGGACAAATGGCCCTGGAGGCCAGCCTGACCATCCCCAGCCTCTCTGAGGAAACTCTTTGGGTTGCAATTGTAGGATCAGCTATCTGTTCAAATGCAATATCTCCACTATTCTCCATCTTATCATGGGGCCAATTTAAATACTTAAAGGGCATCTTTAGGAATCTTTCCTCCAGTCCAAACTGCCTTTTGCTTCCTGTCTACCTCGGAAGTGTCATATTTCATACTACCATGCTTTTCCATGAAACTGTCCCTTTAGTGCTCATTCAACATGTGATCCTGAGGCTGAGCTCATTTTTCCTACTCAGGCCCCCTTTGTGGGCTGAATTGTGTCCTCCACAGCCCCCCACCCCCAACCCCATTCTCCCGCACCACCTACCAATTCATACGTTGATATCCTAACCCTTAGTACCTCAGAATGTGCTTTTATTTGAATATAGGGTCTTTAAAGAGGTGATTAAGGTTAAATGAAGTTCTATGGGTGGGCCCTAATACTATAAGATTGGTGTCCTTATAAGAAGAGAAGATTAGGACATAGCACAGAGGAAAGACCACGTGAGGATACGAGAAGATGACCATCTGCAAGCCAAGGAGAGAACCTCAGGAGAAGCCAACCAACCAACCAAGCTGACACCTTGATCTTGGACCTCCAGCCAAAGAACCGTGAGAAAATAAATATCTGTTGTTTAAGACCCAGTCTGTGATACTCTGCTCCAAAGTGTTGGTTCCAACACTGACTGCAGCAGCTCCCTGCATTCTCTTCATTATACCATACTTTTTGGTGTCAAAGACATTTGTCCCATTGGGTAATAACCATGGCTCATTCTCATTGGTCATGTCTGGCTCTGGACAAAACCCTGGCATTGACAGATCAGGTAAGTGCTGAATTCATGAGCAATGCTTCTCGAGAGTGTCATACAAAGGGCAGGAATCTTCTCTTTGGGCATATGCAATCTTTTCACTCAATTTTCAAACTAGATAAACTGGAAAGAGCCCAGGTATACAGTTTGGGGTTGCAGTGAGTATTGGAAGCATTTTTTCTTTTTTTAATATTAAAAATTTTTTAATGTTTATTTATTTTTGAGAGAGACTGTGCACACACACACAAGTGGGGAAGGGGCAGAGAGAGAGAGAGAGAGAGACAGAATCCAAAGCAGGCTCCAGGTTCTGAGCAGTCAGTACAGAGCGTGACATGGGGCTTGAATCCACCAACTATGAGATCGTGACCTAAGCCAAAGTCATACACTTAACCAACTGAGCCACCCACGTGCCGTAGAAGCATCTTTTCTTAATTTTGAACCAGTGGGGTGCCATGATTTGGTAGACTCTTTGGTCATTTTGGTTGTTCTCTGGCTCTGCAGTATTAATGAATTGCTCTATTTAGACTCAAGGCCTTTTTTGTGTCCTCTTTGTGGCTCAAAGAGGGCTATTTCCCACTTACACTGCCCACACCTCCTTCTCTCAAGGGCTGTCAAATCGCCTTGCAGACCTGCTACAAATGGAGAAAGTGTTTGGCCCCTGGGCCTCTCACCCTTTCCTCACCCAACTAAGTGCTTCAGTGGCCCTCTCTTCAGGCCTTTAATTTTCCCGTAAACACAAAGAACAATGTTTTGAAAGATCTTACCACAACTCTGGTAGAACACTTCCAAGTTCCCACCCCGGCAGACTGTGTGTGGGGGCCACGCTTTGCCACTGCTGCTGGGAGATATAAGAGTCCAGGCGAGGAGGAGGACGGCTATGACACCCTCCATGGCAAGGTCCTGTGGGTGACCTGCAGAAAACTAGCAGGCCCAATGCAAAGGGCCTTCCGGGTCCTCCCTGTCCTCTCACTACAGGGGTGAATGTTCAGTTTCACTTCTCATATTTAATGCTCCTAAGGAACCACTGTGAGAGGCATTTGAATACTGTTCCCCCAGGACCTTTGACACTTGAATCAGCAGGGTGAGGATGGTCTGTGTCTAGGGTAGGCTGGATGTTGATGTTCTGCTTTCATGGGGAGGAGCCAGCAAGTAATGCATGACCTTATCTTCCAAATGCCCCCCCGCGCCCCCCGCCCAGAGTCCTACACCCACAGGTAGGGTAGTTAACTCAGGAAAGCAACACCACAGGCTTCCATGTCTCTGTAGGCTCCTGATGAAGGGTAAGGACCAGGGACCTGGCAGGGGGCCAGTAGACTGCATTTGGTATTTGAAGGGTTACAGAATAACATTTGGGAATTGGAATGAGGTTTTTGCCCTGTTGGCATTTTCTCTAATCTGGCTCCAGCCCCACTCTCAGGATTAGGATTTTAGCAGTGAATTGTGCAGCTGTGAGAACAAAGTTTGTTCTGGGAACAGCAGATGTGGCCTATGGAGATGTGGTGGAGGGAATGGCCCTGAGAGGCGGGCTGTGTTCTATTTCTAGGTTTGGTTGGAGGAAGGGGTGGGGAAAGAGAGGGAAGTGATGCCCTTCCTTTTAAGACAGTGTGGGGGAGGGTTAATTGCTTTGGTCATTGGAGGGATGATTAATGTCACACCCCACTTTCTCTTCAAAGCCAAGAGTCTGTCTCCCTCTTCTACTACCTCTGTTGTCCTGCATCACAACAGCAAAATTTCTCAGCCCTGGTTCCCCACTTCCCACCCCAACTTAGCTTAAGAGAACCAGAGTCAGGGCCAGACCAGCAGATTGGAGGAGTGACAGAGTACACTATTTCCCCTGAGAGGAAGAGCATTTTTCTGAGCTCACTAGATACATTGACTGCTGATGGGTAACTTTAGTTACCTCAAAACTTCTTTTGAATTAAGTGGAACTTAATTACCAGTGAAAACAAATACTCTGACTTAATTGATGGGTGCTTAGGATTTTGTGGCAGACATCACAGAGTGGCCATTTGGGGAAAGGACTGGTCTGGGTTGATGTTTTTTGTTTTTTGTTACTTTTTTAGGTACTCATCCTGCAAATAAGTTTAGAGATGTTGGATTTCAACAGTGATTACCAAAATGTGGTCCCCAGACAGCAGCATCAACTTCAACAGGGAACTTATTAGAAATGCAAATTCTTTGGGTTATATGCAAGACCAACTGAATCAGAAACTCTGGGATGGGGGTGGGCATTGTGTTTTAATAAGCCCACGAGTAGTTCTAGGACAGGAACATGGAGGCTGTCCCTAGAGACCTTTGAGTGCTCTAGAAGGTGTTGAGGGAACTCTGACCGGTGAATGAGGAAAGCACTGAGGCTAAGCCCTTCAGCTCCTGCAGAGCACTGCATGGCCAATACACCAGTGAAAGGTTCCTGGACAGCAGAGAAGGGAGCAGGTATCCTGACAAAGAGCTGTGAGTGGTTGCCAACAAGTCATCTAAGGACCAGGCTATAGATTCTGAATCAAAGGACTTAGCAATGAAAAGAAGCATAATTCAGGCATTGCACTGACATTTGGACAATATTCAAAATGGAGGCTCTGGATGGGTAGTGATGTTACGGCAGTGGAGGTTGGGCTTGAGTGGGCATCAGCTTCAGGAGGAGGGCATCAGCTTCAGGAGGAGGGCATCAGCTTCAGGGGGAGCTCTCTAATACATAGATTGCTGGGCCCTAAACCCAGCGTTTCTAGGTTGCAGATTCAGGAAGCCTGAGAGCCTGCATTTCTAACAAGTTCCCAGGTGATTCCATTGCCGCTGGTCTGGAGGCACAGTCTGAGAACTTCTGCTCTTCTAAGTTATAGGATTTAGTCTGTGGCAGAGTATTCAGTTTTGTTTTGTTTTTAAATCATCTTAGTTTTTTCCAAACATTCTTGTGCTAAATGACAGACATTTTGTATAATACATAGGAGACCCATGTAAGAATACAGAGTTAGCCTCTTGTTCTACAAATTTCTGCTTACTGAGAATGAGGATTTGCTTGAAATCATCAGCTATGGCTCACCAAGTTCAAGCAATCCAAAATGTCTTGAGTTCTTTAACTAGAAGCTTTATAAAGACAACAAAAAAATTCATTAAAAATGTCCTATTTCCTAACTATAAAACAGAATTAGAATCCATTTATGATAGTTATATAAAACATGGTTTTATAGATGTAAATGGCAACTAGATATACTGTCAGGCTCTCATATTGACTTCCAAAACCTTACCAACCTTAGCCAAAGGTGTACTTTTTTTTTTTTTAATTAATAATTCTCTTCCTCTGTGTTTTAAGCTGCTTTCTTTTCATAGAGGTTTGCTTCTGGATGGTGCCTTTTTTTTCTTGCAGGATAAAATGTTATTATCAGGATTGCTATCACTGAAAGTGTTCTTTTTTATGATTATTTTTTCAATTTTGAAAGAGAGAGGGAGAGAGAGAATCCCAAGCAGGCTACTCTCTGTCACTGCAGAACCTGACACAGGACTTGAACTCACAAACCAAGAGATCTGGACCTGAGCCAAAATCAAGAGACGGATGCTTTACTGACTGAGCCACCTAGGTGCACCTGAAAGTGTTCTTAACGAAGAAATCTCTTGATGTTTAAGCAGAGACTTTGAGAATAACAGGTGATATTCTGAGGACAGGGGAATACAGTTCCCTTGGGAAGGTGATTCAGTCTAGGTGTGGGCACTGCACTTCAACAGTATATCTCATGTGTCCGCAGGTGACAGATAGACCTAACTATCCTTTACCACCAAGCGGTGATGATGTGGTACTGTCTCCAATGACAAATGTGTCTTCATCAACCATTATCTTCAACTATTGATGCTTTCCTTCAGTGACCCTCAGATATTTATTCTATTAGCAACAATTTCCTGTTGAATTGTGCTGCCAATTTACTCCTCTTCTCTGTGGCCTGTGTCTGTGTTTCTGCCACACTATAGCTGGATGAGTGAGGTTTGATCTCTTCATGCTTTTGGCTTCCAGATTGACTGCAAACTAAAAATGGCTCCCCTAGTCTAGTGTGTAGAAGTCAGGAAGACGTGCCACTTCCTGTGTAACAACTTTTAGCAGCCCCTGAGTTGCCTGCTGAGGTTTCACTCTAACTATTTTCATGCCATCATTATGTGGGCTACATGAAAGTCTTAGAGTTGGTGCCATAGTATCTCCCAGATTTCTGGAAGACTCATCCCAGGGAAAGTGTGAGATCCAAGAAACTCCTTGGATTTTTATTATCATTACATTATGTGTATGTATCTGTTAGAAAAGTACAGAAACAGCCTGCTCTCTACAAAAATGGAAAAATTCATCTGTTTCTCTCCTTGCTTCAGATTCATTCACTCATTTATTCAGCAAATATTAATTAAGCACTCTAGCATGTCAGTTACAGTCCCGAGCACTGGGAATTCAGCAAACAAAGTCCCTATTATCAGTGAGCTTGCTTTCTAGTGGAAGGGGATGACAATCAACAAATTTGTTTAGTACTATTGTTTAATAAAAGAGACTTTGCTTCTTGAAAAATTGCTTGGGTTTCACATAGAAAATTGGATTGAGTTTTCTGAAATATTTTCAACTGACTATTACATATGAATACTAAACTCTTTTTTTAATTTGCCCCAGACAAATGAGACAGCTCATCAGGGCTTTCCACTAACTGTTTGTTTCAAGAGATAAACTGTATCAGGACTTTCTGGAAAACAAAACAAAACAAAAAAACCCTGCCCCTACCACCCCCTCCATTTCCTTATTATTGACTCATGCATTATCATTATTAATATTCAATTATTTTGGGGGGCATAATGTGCATAGTCTTGGTTTTTAAATGGGTCTGTAAGTTCTGTGACAAAGGGCAAACAGAAATGATTTTTATTTGTCTGAGGAACATGTACCTTGGCCTGGGAAGAGGTAGGCTCTCTAGATCAATCTGATCAATTTCCAACAATGAAAAGGCAACAAAAGGCATTGTCTGATTAAAGCAGAATAACCTGGTCCAAGATCCACAGAGGGCAGGTCTAGTCTGAAATCAGTGATGGACATTGCCCCCAAATTCTCTATAGCATGGTATCAATGACCAACTTATAGCTATAACTCTCCTCAAATTGAGAATGCTCTCAAGATTTCATCCTACTAAGATTGAAGTTATTTTAATAGACCAAAGGAAAAGCATTAGAGAGGAAACCATAAGTGGGGTGAAGAATGAAGAAAGTTCTTTAACCTGATTTGCTCCCATTGCTTAAGCCCTGGGCTCAGGCTTTGACAGGTACCTCCAACTGTGGTTGGTTTCAGAACTTTCTGCTGGTCATTATGGGATGTGAACTCATCTCATTCAAGCCAAATCATTTGAAAGCCCATTTTGCTGGAGTGGCAGGTGGCAGCTGGAATAAAGTAATGTGTCTGTTTTTGCATCAGATCCCTGGAGATTTTCTTGACTTCTCTCTCCTAGCAGTGGTTGCTGAGTATACCTAGAATTCTTCTGCAGAAGTTGTCATGGAGAGCTTTCTAGTCCCTGATGTAGTAAGTTTCCTCAGCAGTAACTTAAACATATAAATAATGATCTTTGAGGTAACGTGTGTTTTTATCTTCTCTGCAATAAAAACTAATAGCCAGGTGGACCCCTACAATGTGCCAGATATTCTTCTAAGCACTTCAATATGTATTCCCTCACTTATTCTATCCTTACAACAGCTTTATGGGATGGCTGTAGTCTCCATGATCCCCCATCTACAATGTGGAAGTCCTAAAGTCTTGAAAATGGAAGCTTTTATTCTTTGAAATTTGTTTGCTAAAAAAAAAGTGTGATCTAAACTGAGAGTTCATAGTTCCCCCCAGTTTAATAGTCTGTTTATTTTATGGTCTTAATTTATCCCACCTAGGTTTCACTGCCAAAATATACTGTGATTGGTTAGTGGGTAATGGGTCTTTTACCAGACCCCACTGAAA